GTATGCATTAAAAAGATTAAAATCCAGGCGAAGGGAAAAGGGAAAATCAGAAGGAAAGATCTTATCGCACAACTAGTCAGACCTCCAGTAATAACCAAGAGGGACTCTCTGCAATAGTTCGAAAGCTATTGCCTTGCAGTAATTTTATTTGAAAGAAAAATTTAAATCCTAATATGTGACTTTATTTAAGTTGCTGGCAAATAGCTCATGGGACTCTATTTATCCTGCCTGCTCCAGTTAATTTTGTTAAAGATTGATAAAGTTTAGATTCACATGTGGAAGATGCTTCTTTTGTCAGTGTATTATATTTAAAGTTGTGAATCATATGAGCTGAAGAAGAAATTGATTGCTTTTCAAAATGTTCATCCTCTGCAAGTCGTGAACAATGTAAAACCACATCCAGCTTGGAAAGTGTCCTAAGCTGAAAATTGAGGCKGGAAGAATAGTAGGGCAAGACATMATAACTGAATTAGAACCATGGGTTGAACAGGGAAAGAACATAATCTTTTGTCCATCTACTTCATGCAAAAAGTTTAAGAAGCACTCTATCTCAACAGACAAAAAAACTGCTTGAATCAAGAGTTAAAGTTTTATTTAACCTTAKTTATAAAAGGAAAGATTCACAAGTGTTTAAAAGAATCCTAAGTGGTTTTTTATATTCTATGGGTGTGCAGTATTGTATAAACAGCAATGGCAACACTGGCTGCTTGGGAAGAGTGAAAAACTACTCTCAGTCCAGCACGCATGATGAAATTGTTCCCAGCACCTCCCAGAACAAGCACTTTTGCTGTCAGAATGCACAAATCTAGTCTAACAAAACAGAAAGGTGCATTAAGCTTCCAACATCCCCTAATAAGAATGAAAGCAGTGATTTACTTAAGGCTAAACCATTGTGCCTGTGGAGCTTCACCATGTGCCAAGGGGCACTTGCAGACTGAGGCCACTGCAGCTCTTTGTTTTTTTGTTMTRTTTTGTTTGGTGGTTTTATCTCCTGTTCCTGCGCTGGGAACAAACTGTGCTTGTCACAGAGCTCTGCTGTCAGGAAGCCATCCCCATCCCCTATTTGCAGAGGGCTTGGGTGCCCTGAAGAGCTGTGACATAGGACATTTTGCCAGTGCAGCAGCAGTGCCAGTGAGAGGCCCTTGTGTGGCAGCKGGAGCCTGCAGCAGGGGCCATCTTATGGCTGCCATGCACAGGGGACAGCGCAGAGCAGAGTGACACAGCACTGCAGYGCCAGTGATGTCCCTCCCGGCTCCRGGGAGAAAGCAGAAAGTGCCCACACCCGTGGGGTGCGAGTTGTGTACCCCCACCACAGAAGATTTAGAAATAAATGCTCAGCCATGCTCTAGTTCTGCTTAATACTTTGTGTTTCTATAATTCTGCTGTATGATTGACTGCCCAAGTTGTTCAGCACACAGTCCAGGAAAACCAAGAAAGATTGGACGCGATGGAGTAGATTCYTTCCTACAAGCTGAAGTTCATGTTATGTTATCAGGAATTATATCATTCAAATAACTTTTTGCTGGCCATTTGTAAACAAAAGGTTGCTGTGGTGGGCTGCGCAGCGATGAGGTCTCTGCAACCTTGAACCAAATGGCGAGGCGGGGGGATTCGTGTGTAGGTTTTGCCATAGAATTCCAGGAGATTTTAGGCTGGTTGCAGCTTGTCAACTACTAGGATATTTTGAGCTGAACACTGGAGTGAAAARGAAGGGCTAAAGATAGAGAAGAAGCTGGGAAATAGGGAATTTAAGGATTGGAAAGAGCTGTACATGCTTGCTAATGAGTGGCTGTTTCCAAAGTTGTGCAGTTTTTGACTTGCCATCAGTGGCATCAGTTGGAAATGACCCCATTGTTGTATCATGTGTAGATTTCCTGGAAAACCTTTTTTTTTAAATTTCTTCCCCCATTTCATCCTTGGGCATCTTTGGATTTTCATTTTTGCTTAATGCTTAGAGAAAACCAAAATCTCATAAAAAAATTTAATTTCCTTAGTTTAAAAGAAGAATTTGACTCCACTTTCTGGGGCCATGAGTTAAAGGACAACTGAATGAGTTWTTTTCCAAACTTTGTTTTGCAGCTCCAAAATCTCTGTTTGTTGTAGTTGATGAGGAGGAGCACTTGCCTSAGTCTGTTCCATAATTTTACAATCTTTGCCCCAGTTTTCAGTATGGTCTGCCAGATCTAGTCTTCATACCCTAAATGCTTTTGTTCATTTAACAAAGTCCTAAAACAAGTCACAGTCAAACACGAGAAGCTTAACAGAATCTGCTTCACAGCTCCAGGCTAAGCTACCTCAACAGCAGTGGGATTGCTTGCTKGTAGATGTAAAGTGAGTTAAGTTATGTCGTAGAGGTACATGRTGGAGCTTCCCTGCTGTCCTTTTGCTCAGTCCCTTTCTTTAACTCTGCTTCACTCCTGCATTTTGAGGAAGAGACTGACTGAAGTATTTGATTCTTCAGGTTTGACGGTGACTGCTGTGAAGGAATTTGGGGAGTGGAATTTGGAAGCTGGAGCGCTGGTGTTTGCAGATGGAGGCCTTTGTTGCATTGATGAGTTCAATAGTATCAAAGAACATGACAGAACCAGCATCCATGAGGCAATGGAGCAACAAACCATCAGTGTTGCAAAGGCAGGGTAAGTGGCATGCTAACTTARGTGRGAAAACAAMATGGGATTTTTTCTCTTGTAYTTACATTTTGGAGGGAWGCTGATTAAAAATACCTGTTTTCTTCATTGTACATGATAGTTTTTCTCTCRGCAGTATTTCTAAACTAGATTAGTTGGTATTTCAAAGGACAGTGCACTGGACCAGAGGCTGAAAGCAATCAGAATGAATATATACCCTCTTCACTGCTGGGTTTTCAGTCCGCTGCTGTAGGCCATGGCACTTTCCTACAAAGACTTGGCATTGCTTTTCTGTCCTTTGCTGCAAGTGGTCATAGTAATCATATGTGAAAGGAGGAGCTTTGTGACTTTTTTTGTTGCAACTCAGAAARTGGGACTTCATTTTTMTGGAATCAYAGAATCACTGAATCRTTAAGTTTGGAAAMGACCTTGAAGCTCATCAAATCCTGCCTATGACCAATCACCACCTTGTCAACTAGACCATGGCACTAAGTGCCATGTCCAGTCATATCTTGAACATCTCCAGGGATGGTGACTCCACCACCTCCCTGGGCAGCCCATTCCAATGCCTGACTGCCCTTTCAATGAAGAAATTCTACCTGATGTCCAGTCTGAGCCTCTCCTGCACAGTTCGAGGAATCCTTTTGTCCTGTCAAATCCAGTCATACTGCTTGGCAACCAAAGCACACCAAGAGATTTCCAGGCTGCTGCATTTTCCAAGAGATTTCCAGGCTGCTGAATTTTATATGCTGGGTGTGGCATAATCTGCTTACTTTAGGTTCCTCCCTTTCTTTTTTCAAAGTAGTGCGTGCTCAAGGCTGCTGTTCTTCCCACTACCCCTGCCCACCACTTGGATATTTGAGCTCATATCTCATTTTGTCAGTTAAATGCAGCTCTTGTCCAGGCCCAAATTATTTCCTATCTGGTATGGCTGAAATCTCTGCTACTCAAAAGGCACCACCCATTCCATATTCCTTCTTGTCACCTTCCACTCATCTCTTGCTCCAATCACATCTTGCCTTCTCTGACTGATTGTGTCCTGTCCTTGTTCTGAGCATCTCCATCCTCCTTGTCAGACAGTGGACTAATAATCACAGAATATTCTGATTTGAAAGCAACCCTCAAGGATCAAGTCCAACTCTTAAGTGAATGGCCTACATKGGGRTTGAACCCACAACTTTGRTGTTTTTAGCACCATGCTCTTACCCATGCAGCTAATCTCAGGGTCACRTTGCTCTCACCTGGGTGATTACCAGCCTTTGCTTCAGTTCCTTGTTGCAGTTGCTTGAATTTGAAAGACCCAAACACAGTTTGCTAACTTGTGCATTTGTGCTCAGTTGCTCACTTTTAAAGACTACATATAATGAGGATTTTTTGAGTAGTAACTTAGCACACATAGGTTAAGCACGTTGTTAATTTTTTCTGTTGGGTATAAGCTAGTGGAAGATCTGTGGTCCTTCCTCYCAGTTACAGAAGAACTTTGTCAGGCAGCAGTTACTCAGGAGCTGACTAGAAATAGCTCAGTGACAAACCAAAGTTAGAATGCTTCTGCTTCTGCCTTACCCAAAAGGAGTGCATTTGGACTACTGGAGTAAAAATAATCTTTCCCCACATCTACAAACACATGCTAGGACATCATGGTTAAAAGAGGAAAATGGCTGTTTCAGTTAATGTGGCTGCCATCACTGTTTACTTGGGTTCATATTCATGTTTACACACAGAAATAAAACATACATCTGTTTTGTGTTTTATTTTGCTCTGCTAAAASGTGAATTAAGCTAAAGTGTTACTTTCCAGCATTCAAAAGTGTTTCTATACTATTTCTGAAAACTAGKGCTGGTTTTCACTATTTAAGAATCTAGCTATATAGAGAGATTATTTGTGGCAATATTGATTGGTGACTTTTGGTGTCCATATCACTGTCTCTCTTTGTTACAATCAGTTGTTGTTATTATCTGACTGAAAAATGCTGTACATATAATAAATATTAACAGAATAATTGTGTACATTGTTTAGCTCTTATGGTCTTTCAAAATAAAATGTGCTCTYTATAGCATAAAACTACAAAAGTTTTTAAACACTTTGGAATCATTTTCCCAACCCAATKTAATTGAACCATAATGTTCACCATACTTTTCTCTAGTTTGGTGTGCAAACTTAACACGAGGACAACTATCCTGGCAGCAACAAACCCCAAAGGCCATTATGACCCCAATGAATCTGTCTCTGTCAACATAGCTCTTGGCAGTCCCCTCTTGAGCAGATTTGACCTGGTCCTAGTATTGTTAGATACAAAGAATGAGGAATGGGACCACATAATTTCATCCTTCATCTTGCAAAATAAAGGTAAGAGTAGTCTTTTTAAATCATAAGGTGTTTTGTTAGGGTTTTTTTTTTTTGCTTGGTTGGTTTCTGGTTTTGGTGTTTTTTTTGTTTTTTTGGTTTTTTTTTTAATTTCCCTACTTTTTTTTTGTGTGTTTTTCTTGAGTCTTTAAAATTAATCAGTGATTACATTTTTGTCATGGTGATTTTCTGCTGTATGGTTGTTCTTCAAGTAGGAGTAAGACTGGGATCACTAATTCATTAAGAGGGGTGAGCTGAGAGCTGTCTACTTTCACTCTGGGTTAATTTAGGAGAGATTTCAGCCCAGGCTGCTAAGTCAGTGGATTGTTTCCATCTCACCCCTTTACACTGTTTATTCTGCAGATCCTACATGCCYTGTAATTGTACTTTCTGTTAATGGGACTTAGTTCAGGCAGGACAGATCAGAGATGCAGGTGCTACAGGGTTCAAAGAATTAATGATAACGCTCCCCATGTGGAGCTTTCTGCTCTGGAGCTAGGGAAGGCAAGATTTGATTTGATTTTGACCAGTCCCTCCCCCATCCACATCAAGGAAGATGGCTTTGATCCCCTTTAGGGAAGAAGTGATTAGAGGAAACTTCTTCAGCTAGCTTCCTTCCCTTTCCAAAATATTTCCCTACAAAAAATATTCAGAGTATGTCAGGTAGCTGTTGGCTCCAACAAAGTAGGTGAAACAGCCGGGGGAGGTTCATACACTCATGCAGCGTTTTTCATTTTAAGGAGTTCCAAAGCASTTGGCACTGCCTGTACCATCTGGTGGGCAGTGAGGCTGACAGCAGTTCTAYAGAAATTACTGGAGGCTTTACTGTGGATTTTGCTATGGGAGGGATYGGATGATGTGTAAAACTCTGCATTGGAATTTGACCAAGTCTTTGAGGACTAGTGTACACACCAGCCAGAATGCCCCAAAAGTACAGTAATGTGTCTTTCATAGTCACCTGTCTATTAAACAGCTTAGGAAGAAGCTTGATGTCTGTTGTTACAGAATTGCTGACAAGGATGTTGTTACGCAGGTTGCCCGAGTGAATCAGAAAAGCTCTGGAGCATGGAAAGGATGAAAACCTACTTCTGTCTTATAAAAAGCATACAGCCAAAATTGTCTGAAGAGAGCAACCTGATCCTTGTTCGCTACTATCAAATGCAGCGTCAGAATGACTGCAGGAATGCTGCCCGCACCACAATCCGCCTGTTAGAGAGTCTGATACGGCTTGCAGAAGGTAAGGCCCTGGCATTTTTATTTTTAGGCTAACAATTAACCTTTATGAAATGAATAGAACAGGATAATTATAGCCAGTAAGCAKAATAGCACCTTTTCCATGGAGGTAGGGATAGGTGATTCTTGTATTATTTTATCCTTCTCATCTAAGGAGTCCGAGGGTTGGGAATTCTGAATGTAAAGAAATAGTGTTATATTTAGACTATCAAAACCATTTTTAATTTTGACATTCTCATATTTATAATAAATATTAAAACCACTGGAAGAAGTCACATTCAAGAGAAAAATCTCAGAAATCGTGTTTCTTTATGAAAAGCAATCTCACGATTTACTTGGTTTCATTTGAGTCAAATATTTGCTTCTACTCTGAAATTGATATAAAATGAAATTAGCATATTTTTTCTTAAATATCAATAATTCTAAAATGAATATAACATAATATAACTTTATAATACATATATTATCTATTATCTATTATCTGTATATTATACATTATACATTATATATTATATATATATTATATGTTATATATTATATATCCTATATTGTGTATTATATCTACCATATTATATATTACATATTATATATTATATATAGTATATTATATATAGTATATTATATATATTATATATTATATATTATATATTATATATTAATTATATATTACATATTATATAGTAACTATATATAATATAACATACAACTTTTTTTTATTTCCTGAAGTATTAGTGATCAAGTCTGTACTTTTCAATACAGCTCAAAAACTTCCAATTCCGAGTTCAAGTAATGTTCCATTTATAAGAAAAAACCCCAAAGGAAGCAGTATGTCTCTGTCTTAACATGGTTTTATTTTATAAAATGRCATATCAAATATTTTCAGGATGAATTTAAAAGAATGTACTGTATTTTGTATAGCAAGCAGAAATGGCAGTGTTTTGCCTCCTACTTTAGATGTTTATGATTTGTTCTCCATTTGGGGGGAAAGACATTCTCCCTTTAAGTAAAAGTCATTCCTAACKTTTTGAGATTCACATGTAATTTTCACATTCAGTATTTGTTTCCTTCTTATCAGTTCACGTGACTGGGGATTTTAGTAGGATTTTGTTCTTTCAAAGTATTATTTAAATAGTATTAACTAACCTGYTTTTCTGTTGCTGTATAAGAACTGTAAGAACTGAGTGTATTTCCATGGCCAGTTGGGAAAATGGTTTCATGTGATTGTTTGCATTATATCTATTTACAAAATCAGTTTTATTTTGCTGATTGAAGAAAGGAAAGGAAACAAAAATAATGGTGTTGTAGAGAATAGCATTTTAAATAATACTATATCTGTGACACAGACCAGAGGAAATAATTCTTTTCTGACCTATGTTGAAAATTAGACCTTATTTTTCACTTTATGATGATGACATGTGCCTATATAGACAGAGATGCTTCATATCACAATCTTTGTTGTGATATCCAGCACTTTACATTTTTTAATTGTAGGATTTTGAGCATCTTTATTCTGTCACTGTAACTGCCGTTTGAAAATTATACCCTATTATTCACTAGAAAAATTAGTCCATCCAGTTTATGTTGAAATTGACACTGAAATCAAAATGATTATATTTATGTTTAAGTTATTCCCAGTCACAAGTGTTTGAGGGCTGAAAAATTTGAAGAAGCACCTTGTTCCTTTAAGTACAAAAAATTGTTTTTTACTTCAGTAACACTTGCCCCTGTTTATTTTCAATAGCTCATGCCCGATTGATGTTTAGGGATACTGTGACTTTGGAAGATGCTGTAACTGTGGTATCAGTGATGGAATCTTCTATGCAGGTAAGGTTTCTTGAACACATTGCCATTGCTGCCATACCCCATTTAAAGGATTCAATTTTACATGTAGACATGTGCCAGCTCTCTTCTTCTCTTAGGGAAGGATTTTATAGATTCATGCAAAGTAGGTAATCAGAAACCTTGACAAGTCTTTTTTGGTCCATCTTGATTGTTAAAATACTTAAAGAGAGATTATACTGAAAAATCTGGATTAGGATAAAGGCCTGTTATCTTTTTTCTATATACTTTGCACCCTAAGTGAAGTTTTGGCACACAATTGGCTTTTGGTAATCTACATTTTAAAGGTGTTTTGAGGCAGAAATTGTGAATATATCACTGTGTTTAATAGCCTCTGATGGGTTTTTCTTCCATGATGTTATGAAGTCACTCATTAATTAGGTATGAGAAAAGCAAATAATATTTTGGAGCAAGTTCAAGCAGTTGCCAAGACCTAAAATTTATTTTGCCATTAAATAATTTTTAGCTATGTTGGTAGTTATAGTAAAACTAAAAACATTTAGAAGACTAATTTTATTCTTAGAAACCTTACAATTCCAAAACTTTGGTTGGACTGAAAATCATGCATTCCAGTTATCAGATGAATTTATGTAACATCTCTGTGCAAAAAGGCATTGAAAAAATGTGGAAAGCTAGATTTTAGTTTCCTGTAGTATTACTAGAATGTTGAAAAAGCAGCACATTTAGAAYGAGTAAAAGAAATGTGAATGCAATGGAAGGGTTTTTTTAGTAGAAGTGTGGAAAATAATATAGAAACTATTCCTTCAGACAGAATATTTTTGAGAGAAATGAATCTTCATGCTTCAGAGTAGAAAAAAAAATTACCATAAGCAGATTATCCAAAGTTTTATGCATGGGGTTTTTAGCACATCTGAAATATTTGGGTTTGGCTCAGTCAGAGATGGTGTACTCTGCTATGCAGCTGACTGGTCTGATCCAAAATGGCATTTCATATGTTTCTGTATAGGTTGATTTGAATATTTTGCAATTAAAACAGTTTTATATAGCACCCATTAGTTCAATGGGCCTGGAAGACCTTTGCAGGAGTAGATATGCTCCTATTTTTTGGAGACAAAGCTCTTCAGGATAGATGCACAAAGTCACGTCTGTCGGGTAGGCACTTGTGATCTCTCTTGTCCTTTCAGTGAGTGTTGAGAGACTAATTGCAGTTTGTGCCACAGATAATCTATTGCACAAYGTTGCAAATGGAATTCATCTCAAAAACACTACAGGGCCTGACCTTATTAAGTAGGAAAAGATTATTTTGCTGTCTTCTGCAATTCATCTTGCACTGTTTTGAARAGCTCAGCTTTTCAATGACAGCACTGCATCAGAGTTAAAATATGAAGCTGTTGAAACTGAAGAAGATGCCACGTAAGTCTTCATTAACTGTAATTAAACCTGTAATTAACTAGATGGAAAATTGATGGGACAKTGGTTTCAAAGCAGTGTGGTTTTGAATATAAGAACTCTGAAATGCTATTTTCTTTTCATTTTTGTCTGGTAACACATCAAAAAATGAAATGGATGTAAATAATAATAATGTGCATTGTCCCCTGTGTGTCTTTACCTGATCAGCACGAGTAAATATAAAAGAATTGTTTTAACTGTGGGTCACTTTTTCATTTTCATACAGTCCTGCCCTCAGGGGCTGCAGGTTGACCTGTCCAGGGTGAAGCCACTACATTGWGTAACAAGCTTTTTCTAATAAGAGTCAGTGAGAAATTTGCCTGAATTACAAGTGCAGAAGATTACCTGGGAGTATTTTGTATGCTTACCATCATTGCTTCACTCTTAGCTTCTTATGAGCAAGTAGCAAACGTGTTCATTTTTGCTAGGAAAATGCAAATTTGAGATTTGCTGTTTAAGGTCAGATTTTACTTTTCTCCTAGAAAGTGTAAATGATCACTGAGGTAGTTTCTTTTTGAAGGATGTGATTTATTTGTTTTATTAAAAAAAAAAAAGATAGAAGTAGCATGCAAAAGTTTATTTTCAGAAATGGATTCTTCTTTAGAAAAAAACCCCACAACATTCTGTAAGATACATCCTGTGTTTGCTGCCTAATTGTCAGTCTGTAAATGAGGAAGTGCCAGTATCATTCTTGAAGGACTGGCTGACAYCTTTTTGGCTCAGCAAACTCGACGTTTAACACTGTTGTCTTTGCAACTTGTACATTAAATCATGTTCTTGCCAGTATAAAATTAAAGTTCACAGTTCTCCTGTGACTGTTTGGATATTTCTTGGGAGCTCTCYTGGGAAGGAAGACTATCACATTTTCATCACCAACCTAGTTCTTTGAAGTTTTTTGTTTGTTTCATCCTCTAATTCACCTTTATATTTATCTTTTCTACTTTGTAAGCATATTCAATCCCTCCAGCTTGATCYTTTCATTGCCTTATTTTCTCTTGTTAACATTGTCTTCCTCCTTCTTGTAGTTGTGTTTCCATCCTTGTTTTATTCTCTTTCCAGTCTCTCCTTTTATGCCTTTWTTACTTTGTCTTCCCATTCCTAGGYATTTTACACCTTTCCAATGACTTTTCCTGTAGTACTGTCTCAGTTTTAGATACTCTGCAGTTTACAGTGGTTTTGTCAAATGGTTTCCTTCCTCTACTCAAAATGATATCTCAGAATCTCAGAGGGGCAGGTATCTCAGAGACATGAGCACCAGCACAGGAGTGAAACCTCAGAGATATCTTAAATTCTCTTAGAATTTCACATACACACACAGTRTTTAAAAGAAGCTCTTTGTGATGGCCAAGAAAAGGACTGAAAGGTCAGTGAGGGCAAGACCTTATTGTCCCCCATGGCTGTATATCTCAGGCTACATATAACCATGTAGTCCTCTTTTTCTCCACTGGGTCCTTAGGTCACAGGTTGACAGTACCCAATCGGAGATCAACTATCTTTTGCCAGTGTTTTGTTCAATGTTTTGTTTACTACCTGCTGTTCTAAAGGTAATATTCTCAGTTTCTTACTGTATTTTTCTTTGGAATTCATCTCCAGTGGACTTGAGTATTTCAGAATTATCAATTCACCTGTCTTCAGGCAGTCCTTGTGAAGTGATGGGATGGTGGTACTCCTATGATCCAGAGCTGAATTACACACAGTCCAGAAGAAATTGTCCACTAGAGCAGACCCTCTGAGAGATGGTTGGGGCCCCAGGTTCAGACTAGTAGCACTTAGAGTGTTYGAGCACATTTCCTGTTGTCTGCAATTTCCTTCTGTGCACACACCACATCAGGATCCCATTTAAAGATTTATTGTCTTCTTTTTCTTGACTGGCTGTTTSTGAATCACGAGAACTGGAACTTAGCATCAGAGATGGAATCTCGTTCTCCTTGTCTGCTTTTAATCATTCTAACCAAAAGAATGAGTCCYTACCTCATTTCCTATGAACCTTCCAGTACCTGAAGCAAATACAGCAGAGAGGTTCTGCTGCAACCTTTTCCATGACAACAGACTGCTGCCTCTATATGGAACAGATTTATCATGAAGTGATGGGTCAAAAAAACYCCAAGTGGTAACTTCAGTAGGATGYATTAAAGGTTGCATGGACAGCCTTATTTTTAGCACTGTGTAGTTTTAGAGAGCTTTATATAGCCACARAATGATGTTTTTCAAAGTAATGTTTTTTTTTATTATAAAATCTTAACATTGCAAAATGGGAGAACTGGAAATTACCACAACTGAAAACGTGTAATCCATGTGATGCTGTAGGTAGCAATTTCTGGATTTAGAGACTACATTGACTTTTGCTATTGTGCCCATGGCACTTGATACACATCTTGTTCATTAGCTGTATTAAGCTGTATAGATTAGGTAGCAGTGGTAAATGCTAACTAATCTGTGGCAAAATAGAGGGTTTGTGGTGTGAGGTGGTTTTTTTTTTTTCCAAAGAGCAATTAACTAGAGAGCTATTCTAGATTATTTGTTGTGGAACAAATCACTGTGCAGATGCTCTGTTCCAAATAAAACCTACTTCATTTTCACAAGGTGCAACAAAAATTGTCCCGCATTAAAATCACTTAGAATTCATTGGAATTGTTCACAAATAATAAATTATTCTTAAAGAGCTATTCAGAAATATTTCTGCCCAACAATATACCCTGTGTTGACAAGCCTTACTACCTAGGTCTTTTCCTTTAAGAAATTAGGCAAAGCTAATGAAAATTGCTAGCTTCTTCAGTTACAAAAGTTCCTCACATGGGCAAAATTTTTACAAGGTATTTGGGAAAATTTTTTAATCCTAATTTTCATTTTCAGTCATGATGTTCTCAAGGTTTAGGCAGACTTCCCATTCTATGTACCAATAAAAGTAAACYAGTATGAGTAAACTGCTTGATCATGTAGTTGCCTTATGTGTATGATCAACTTTGACAGTGTGATCAGATTTAATAGGATTATTTCTGTGGATAGAGTTAGCAAATATTTGCYACCTTAAGCTTTAAAATATCTAAGGGAGATTTTCAGATAGCATGGTCCCTGCTCTTTAGATTTGGTGCTGAATRACAAAGGTAGTTTCCAATTTAATTTTTTTTTAATCTCTGTTGTGCCATAGGGGGGTGCACTTCTTGGAGGCATCAATGCCTTACACACCTCATTTCCAGAAAATCCAATGGAGCAGTACCGAACACAATGTGAAGTCATATTGGAGCGGCTGGAGCTGAAAGATCTTCTGCACAAAGAGCTACAAAGACTGGACAGGTTATAGTTCACAAAGTAACAAACTAATTCAGAAAGGAAACAGAATTTGTTTCACAATAATATCTGGAGAGGGTCTAAAAATAGTCTKACATTGGGAAGGACTCATCCTTTAGAGGACATGGATAATCAGGGAGATTGTTTTAAAGTACCACTTTGAGATCATCACAAGATCATTTCTCCTTCTGGGTTATAGAATTTACAAATATTTTAATCAGTTCCCAACTCACAATATCTCAATATTGTGCTCAGATAAGTTTTAAAAGTGCTTCTTAGAGTCAAAATGCTAGATTCCGTAGCTGAGCAAATAATTTTGTAAAACCTTTTTTACTTACTTGGTAAAATACAGCAGATCTGCTTCATGATTTTTTAAGCCTTCTTTTGTGTTGGGCTTGTCAGGATCCTTCCCTTTCTGTTAATGGAAAATGTAAGCCTGAATCAAAGTTCTGTTCTTTTGAGTGATTTTTCCTCTTTACAYGCTGTAGTTTTCACTGTCTCATCTATAGTTTTCAGCTTAGTGGAATAATCTTTGGGAAAGTATTTGTTGTTATTAATAGAAAACTTTTAAAGTACTGAGCCTGAAAGCAAAACCCTAGAACTGGAAGGAAATAAAATTTAAAAAACCCAACCCACATTTTTTCCCTGAAATGAGATTGGGCTCTAAAGAAACTTACACTTTCTTACTGTTAAAGGAAGGTAAAAGATTAATGTTGTTGAAATTAATGGAAACAGCTGGGAGAATTCACTTTTCCTTTGAATATTCTTGAGACTTATTTTGTAACTTGTAGTAATGATGTGTTAAATAACCACAGAGTCAACAGAAACAGTTTAAAGTGGGATATCTTTAACAGACAGACAAAAGCTAGTTTTAAAACAGAGGTGTTCATAAATAAGGGATCATAGAAATGTAGGATGGGATGGGAGATCAAATACAAAGACAGGATCAGATCTGCATTTGACCTTCCTGGCAGGAGCTCACATTATCTGCTCTGAAGCCCTTCTAATGATGAGGATTTTCTATTGCCATTTTATRGTCTGTTCCATGATTGCTTCACCTAATGCTCATAAAGGTTTTCCCAATATCCCACCAAATGCCCTCTGCTGCAAATTAAGCTGATTTCTTCTTCTCTCTCTTAAGCAGCTTGGGGAATACTAAATTAATGTCCTTTTTAAAACAACTCATTCTGTATTAGAAGACTTGTTCCACGCATTCCCCCTAAACTTTATTTCAATAAAACAAGCATGTRTCATATATCTCTCTTTCCTTCTTGTTGAGTCATATAATTTCTGCTACCTTCCATTAAAAAATTAAGAATAAACATGTTAGTGAACAATTATAGTAATTATTCTAAAACATACTTGTCAATATAGAGCTATCTGTCTCACACAGCAGAGAAACTGTTTATAATGCAGAAGAATCATTTCTTCTAGACATCTGCAGTCACTTTTGGGATGGAATGTGGCTGCTTTTCACTCATGGTTTGCCTCACTGTTTAGCAGAAACCAGAATGCTGTCTCCCTTGGAAATAATGTGCTTATTAGCTGAATGTCAGCTCTACTGAGATTGGAGGCAATCCTCGTTCTAGGACCCTAGTTGTTTTGGAGGGCCCTGAGAATACTGATAGCCACAGATGGTGATAATTATCTTTTATAAGTGATCTTTCATTCTGTGATGTTTTTGACATGTTGAGTCCATAGTGATTAGGAGARAAACCAAACAACAACCACTATTCCAAGTAATACCTAGATTTTCCATTCCAATAACTCATTAGAGGCTTTACCTGRCACAGGATAAGATTTGACTAGGTTTCTGTTCTAGAAGATATACTTACAGAATATGTAAAATCTGTAAGGGCCTCTTGCAATGGTTGCAAATATTACAAACCTGTTTGTTTAGTTCCTTTTTTTTCTGTTTGGTTTCCCAAGGAAATTCAGTTTAGGTGGTTGCTTTCTCTGTCCATCTGCCTGTCTTCTACTGGGGACACCAAATTCTGCCTCKTACTGTCAAAGGTGCTGAGAGATCACAGACTGTGACACCAGCTTTCAGAGCTATATGTGAAACATAAYATACTTTTGTGACCTACATTATTTGGAGCTTTCCATCAGTCATGCATATTATGTATCACTAATGCAATGAAAAAAGAAAAAGGAAGAAAATTAATTTACTATTGTTTTCTTTTTCATTGTATAGATTGCAAAAGGAAAATTCATGCCAGCAGCAGCCTGAAGAGACAAATTTCAGTACTGCCACAAGATGCTCAAATGAGGATGCATTTGGGCAGTCAAAGCAAAGGTYTCAGTCAGTACCTTCAAATCAAGAAGAGGATAACTCTGGGCCACAGACACCTTTGCCTGAAGGCAGCTGTGAAGGGGAAATTCATCTAGAACCCTTGTGCAACCCAGCACGTGGCAATAACAAAAATACAAGCACCCTGGCATGGTTTGACAGCCTGGAAGAGACAGGCATTGATGTTGAAGAAAATTCTCATAAGAGGTCTCTGGTGCCCAAGATATCTCCAAAGAACTTGGCTTCAAAAACCCCAGGTAAAACATCTTGTTTTGAAGAAAGATCTGCTTCAATACCAAGGAAGCAAAATGGATTAAGAGAGTCACTAGCAACTGTGGATCTGCACRCTCCTTCAAAACAGGACAAAATTTCCAAGTTAAGCAGGAAAAGGACTGAAGAACACAACCATTCTTCTTCAGAAGATAATATTGCAGAGGCAGCACCAAGAGTGCAGGATTCAGTCATTAGGCATCATGCTTCTAAAAGCTGGCAGAGGCTGCACACGGAGAAATCACATGGATTCTTTACAAGTACACAGGACCCCGAGGCAAAGGTCCCTCTTTCAGTATTACCTGCCTCTGGCCTGCCAGATCTTTCAAGCAGTGCAGATTCTGTGCTAGGGGAAGAAGAGAACAGCGTATCTGTAGCAGCAAAACCTGCAATTTCTATGAGAAAAAGAAGTAAAGATCAAGTAGCAAAGGAAACRAAGGCAGTAAGTTCCCATGAGCAAGAAAGTGAAAGTCCCCCAGCTGCTAAACTAGCTAAATTTTCTTTCAGACCAAGGACAAAGCTTGGTCATTCTTCAGAGAAGACAAATGAAGAATTTTCTCTTTTTCAGAGTGAAACTATTTTTACGCCAGGAGAGCAGCTCCAGGGAGAGCAGCTGCCAGAAGAAGGCTSCCCACCTGAGAAAAACAAGATGACATTGACTCGCTTAGAAAAATGTAGTTTGGAAAAACAATCAATTGATAATAAAGGGAAAGAAGAGCAACAGAGCCAGGCCTTAAGGAAAGAGATCAGAGGAAGTGCAACAGTATGCTCTGATGCCAGTTTTGATGCTGTGTCACCTCCRCCCACTGAGAAGAAAAGGGAGGGAGAGGGGCAACATGGTGGCCCAAGCACAGGGAAGGTGCGCTCCAGCACATTAGCCAAGCTATCGTCGTTCTCATTTGTRTCACGTCCTGAGGCAAAACCAGAAACCTCACCTGCCATTAAGAATGACACCAACAAGGAAAGTCACAGCCCAYTGCTGAAGGTGCACATGAGCAATCYTAGCAAAAGGAAGAGTTTTGCATTGGGAGATTCTAGTAAAGCCAGCATGGTCGCGAAGACATCTCTCTTCTCCATAGCAGAGTTAGATGATGCTGCATTAGATTTTGATTGGGATGAAGAGGTTAAGAAAAATCCAAGCACTTAACATGTACATCCTCCCAATGTTCTTCTGAATCTTCACCCTTCTATCAGTTGTATCCATGGTTTTCAAATAATTTCATAGAATCATCCTGGACCTGTGAATGTACAGCCATATACTTTACATAAGTAAGGACTGCATGTGCTGCAGGCCCAATTTGGCTTTTAGTTTTCTAAACTCTTCCCAGGACCATTTCTCTCAGTTCACTGTTTTGAYGAACCCTAAAGACTTGAATAGTCATGTTCATGTGTCCAGAAAGAGTGATCTTTCAGAAGAGCAGGCTTAATTGACTTTTTCCTTCATTTCATGTAACAGTTTGAACTACACATGATTCAGRTTGTCCTTCCAAGTGACTGTGCTGCTTCAGAAAAATGATGGTGCTCAAGCCATGTCATTATATTTTGTTCATCTATATATGCTGTTTGTCTCAGCATAGTTACCCCTTTGGTGATCTGTTATCATGCTAGGGCAGGTATTTTTGTATTACCAGTATCATGACAATTTTGCTTCATCTTGAACATTGTGCTTCTTGTCACAGATTTGATGCTGAAGACACAGATTGAGAGCTTTTCATTTCTGTTTTTTAATTTCAGTTTTAAACACACTGGTTCGGGTATCTGTGTCTATATTCTGGGTCACTTTKTCAAAACCCACCTCTAATAAACACACGGTTCTCCACTGCAGAGACAASGAATTTCAGGTGATTGAATGGGAGTCGTCAGTAACCAGGGTAACTTAAATGTGGGCATTAAGGCCTGCCATATAAACTGCACTTCAAACCTAGCAGCAGAGTGAAGAGCTTCCCTAGTGTAGCTTGGTTCTGASTCAGATAATGTTTCCTTGGATATTTTAATTATGATTAGAGTTTTACTGCATCTGATATGTAGTTTGTCTTCTGTRGCATGGTGCATCCTGTGTCATTCATTTGTCTAATGGGAAGTTAATCTACTAATGCATTACATGTTTACAGAGAAAGGTAAGCCTTAATTTTCTTCTAGTGACTTGCCTGGTATGTTTCTTCTGTATTTGAATTCTCCACAGAATATTCTTGTTATTACCTGCAAGGTAAACAGAGAATAGAGTGGTTGCTTAYGGCACAGTAAAGCCCTTGGGAGACTTGCTAGCAGATAGATCTGATTCTCTCTTGGTTTGTTTACAAGTAGCTCCCTTGAAACCAAGTGAGTTAAAATACTGCAGAATTTCAGAGAAATGAGGGAGGGAGTGTGAGGCCCAAGTACTTCAGAGTGGTACGGTGAAATCATGACAACACTAAGGATGGTAATTGGCATACTGTTAAGAGTTTGACAAAAGGATAGGAACATTGCTCTCCTGACTGATTATATGGTGGTTCCTCCACTGGAGGCATAACATCAACCAAAACAAGTGGAATTTATCCACCTCCATCCCAAACCACAGAATCACYCCACCATGTTCCTTCTCAAACCTCTGCCAGGGTGAGGGTGGCATGCACCCATGACCAYGAAAATTAGAAGTTTCCTACAGAATGCTGTGTCTGTGCTGGAACTTGAGAAGGCTCAAGAATTCTGGAGCTCTCAACATTTGTGATGGTCTTCCTACTTGAATTTTTTGCATCAGCCACTTGCATTGTGGTCCCATTTGTAGTCAGAAATCCTCTTTGGTTTGATGGATGTTACTGGTTGGCTAATGCAAAGCCAGAACATAGCTGTCACATTCCAGCCAAGCAGAATGAGCTTTTTTYCCCATGCAAAATGATAAATCAGTCAAGAGGAATTTCATCTACCTATGCTGGAACTACTCTTTTATTTATTACATCCCTATAGAACAGTAGCTAGGGCCTCATCTAATGTAATTTGCTGTGTGAGGTTATGTGATGAGCTTCTCCCAAGAACTGCAGCACCTTTTCCTAAATATTCTTTTATGGGAGGCTGATTGGCTTTTCTGCAGCTGCCCAGTGGAAATTAGAACTTGCTTGAAATCAGTGGAATCATGGTGGCACAAAATTGAGTTGAAAGTTAAGGCCAAAATTTACTTCTCCATGCTTATGYTGTTTTTGAGAAAGTTCTTGGTTTTGTGTTCTGTTTGTAAGGCCTGKTTGGCAGATGTCCTGAAAACAGCTGAAGCTTAAAACAGTAAGACTTGTGTAAGGTGCAGTGTAATTAAWATTTTGCTCTTGTGTCTTAATCTCTCATATTCTTGGCTGTAAATTGGCCTCTTCAAGAAGAAATAGTAGTGAATGGTCTCASRATATCTGGGAGTAGTGGAAATAAGRATGTGATACAGGTTTGAAGCACTTCTTGCTGAGGACATCTGAGAACCTAAGAATTCCCACGTTTTAGCACCTCTCTTTACTGAGTTGCAAGCCAAGCTTGCATCCCTCAAAACAGTATGTTTGAGCACAGTAGGACAAGTTTGATAATGCCCTGGAGACCTGCCAGACTTCTTGGAAAGGGCGTGGTTGGGTTGCTAGCTACCACTTGGATATACTCTTTTCTTTTTGAACTCTCTACAAACAGGTCCTACTCACCCAAGTATGTGGGGTAAATAAACAAAGAATAAATTTGGAAAAGCAGATACTGCTGAGATTTTTCTCTACCGGACCAGTTGAAATACCACTGTTGTGGTACTGCTTCTGATTCATAGCACAAATTCAGAGCATTCAAGATAAATGAGGAACACACAGTAATAAGAAAATGATACCTGCTGCTGATTTATTCTCTCCCTCACTGTTGCCATTGCTACAGAACCCATTTATCAGTGTTTTGGCAGGGAATATCACTAACTTCTTCCCTTTCCCTTTATATACCATATASCCACTTCCCCCACAAATAATCACAAGTTGTAATGTTTTTTTTGAGTGCTACAATAGTGCAGTGATTGGAGAATTTAAAGCACTATGGCAGTGACGGTCTGCTGGGCTAACCTACTTTTTGAATACTTTGTACAGTCAAGGGGCAGATGAGTCACTTCCTGTCACCTGTCTTCCTGGCCACACACTGACCTATTTTCTGTGTTTTATTTACTGTTTCCTGAGCCATTTTCTGTGTTTTAATGCTTCCCTCTCTGAGTCTAGGTTCTATCAAACCAATTATTATTGTTGAATACATTAGCATTTTAGTAAGCTGTGTTCCTGGAAGGTGAATATATATATATGTTGCTGTCTTAAAATTCTGTTGAACCAAACTTTAGAAGCCACTGGTTCTAGCAGTGTGTTGGTCAGGCCCTGATTTGTGAGCAGCAGTGAATTGCTGGTAGATATTCAGTGGTCAGGATGAAGCCAGATTTCACCAAGTCAGTGTGGTACAAGTTCATGTGCCATAGCAGTGCTCTCCTGAACAGCCCATGCAGACATGCTGATAAATCAAAAGGGAGATAAAAAAGCAAAAAACCCCAACAATTTAATTATATATTGTTTAACTCTATTTTTGTATTGAAAAAATAAATWAWAAAAAAAAAAGCTCATCATAATTTTTTTTAATCCTGCTGCATGTGTGGTACTTTTGCTGGGAAAGGCACAACCTTGGCTAAACCATAACTGGGCTTGAGACCCACACCCCTCTGCTTTGGGAACCTAGGTATAATATTTTAGACTGTCATGAGGTAGCTSTGCTTAGTGCCTGAATTGCTTCTCATTTGCCAGTAGGTGGGAAGGGGGAGCTGTGAGTAATGGTTCTCTGTGATTGCACACATCCCTGGTTGCTTCTCTATGATTACACACATCCCTGGTTGATGTACAGATCTCTCTGATGGCCTGTCTCCTTGCTTCCTTTGTAGMTGGAAAGTCCTGCTAAAAGAGGCTTCCTAAACAATCTTCCTTTCTACTTCCCATTTACAAAAACTGGCTATCACCCATGCCTTGGGCTTGTTTTCTGCATTAGATGCTATTGACCACAATCTTCATAAGGTGAAAACAAAGTACAAAGCTGCTCCTGGTTATGCTGCCACAAGTTATTTCCAGATCTCCGAAGGGTTTTTTACCTATTGGTTTGGTTTTTCTTTTAATTTCTCTACTTTTTAAAAATCTTTTTTTTGTGATATTTTAATTTCACATCAATTTATATCTTCATTTATTGGATACCTCACTTGTAGATGAGTCTCACGATGCAGCAATCTAGTATTTGTCACCTCTTCATTGAAGCATTGCTGCAAAACTGACATTTAAGACAGTGCAATCCAGAGGCATTTATGTGAAACCACCCCAAAATTAAAAGGCAGWAAGGCAGAAAGCAGTTGATTTTATATCCAATTTTCTTCTAATATTTTTGACTTCTTTAATTTAAACAGTTGCACTATTAAGTTACACTTAATCAGCTCTGATCCTTCAGGATCACCTGAAGTGCTTCTTAGAGACAGCAGAGTATGTGTGCATTTGTTACCTTTCAGGATCTGGCAGCACTTAGGACAAAGTTGTCCTTCTTGTGGTCCAGTCTTGCTGGAGACCGTTGTCAGACATTATCAGATATGGCGTATCACTGCTGCCACTGGTTCCTTATCCTTCCCTAGAGATGCCTCCTCACATCTTTTCCTTCCTCCCAGACCCTTGTTGCCTCCTTTCTCCGAAACTCAGGACTGCTGTCACTGCCTGCTCTCACAGTGTCAATGCAGGTCCCTCCAAAGGTCCCCTGGGAGGTATTGCCCATCCTATTTAAGGCACTTCTGGGGCAGATACCTGGTTCTTAAGCTTTTAAAACAACCTAGAATGGGAATCCCTTGCCRTGTACACATCTTATAAAACCAGCCCTCAACTCTTCCCAGCAGGATGAAAATTTTAAACATGGCACAAAAAATGTGGCAGWAGTTGAACTGAAAAGGGAGTGTGTGCTGTGTGTATGAGCTACTCCACTAACACATTTTATGCTGACCACCAGCCAGTCCTGCTCCAGTCCAAATGCTGCTTTTCTTTYTAAATAACTGGCAAGCAGAAGAAAACCTTTCATATCTAAGTTGGCTTGTTGTTCCTGTTATTCTTAAGTTGAGTATTGTGATTCTTGTTGGATACACAGGTTAATGTGTTAAAATATCATCATGTGATCATGTGATGTGCACCCAGATTATAAAATCAAGAGAGCTAAAGCCAAAGACAAGGCAAAGTCAAACTGAASTGAAACTTCTGACTAGTGGATTCTATGTAAACAGTTGTCCCAAGAGAGGACATAAAATATCCCATTCTAGAAGGCATGTATTGATGGGAAGATGAGGTAAATAGGGTATTAAGTGCTCTTTATTTCATGTGAATGAGGCAATAGCTTCATTAATAATGAATAATAATTATGTCATCTCRCTTGGGTATCTGGTGTGCCTTTGCTTATCAATGCTTTCCTTCCTGTTAGAAGAATATCAATAGTTCCAAGGACTAACATTGTCCTTTACTTAGTAAAGAGCACAGCTCTTTTAGAAAGGAGTGAAAATGTG